GTATAAACAGCAAATAATTTTAAGAACTTAGCTAGATATACATATAATGTACTGAATGTATATATAGCACTTCTTGTTTACCCCCATATTGAGAGCCAAAATGACTCAGGCTATGCCTACATTACAGAGTTTTGTTGACAAAAGTTATGCCACTTTAAACCGCTGTTGCATGTCTACACTATACTCGTGTCGGCAGAGTGCATCCACACTAGCAGCTCTTGCATCAACACAGAGCAGTGCACTGTGGGTATCTATCCCACTATGCAACTGGCTGCAGGGTACTTAGGGAAGGGTTTGCAATGCCTCATGGGGGAGGTACAGCATCACATGATGCAGGTTTCTCAACCCCATCATTCCATGGGCATCCGCATAGATTGTCTGCTGCTTTTCAACTGAGGTGGGGAACAGGAGGGGACATTGTGTGACAGGACATGTGTGGGGGGGGAGAGAAACAGAAACAGAATGTGTGTTGGGGAAGAGCAAGTGTGTTGGCATGCAGTCTCTAAGTTCAGACAGCTTCCTGACAAACCTATCCTGAAGCAGGGGGATATCACCACCCTCACAGCAGTCTCTCCCCCTTCTTCTCCCCCACAGCAGAAGCCTGCTCTGCCTGCCTATGGTTCTAGGATTCCTTCTGAGTTCTCCCACAGCCTCCTCAGCTGACAGGAGCAGCATCCTCAGCAGCTCTGTGAGCTCTCTACATGGAGGAATGTCAAAACAGCACAGCAGTTGTGACAGATTTATGTTACCAATCTGCCTGAGGCATCAAGTGATCAGGCTGAGGCCACAGGATTTTTAGGGGAGATGAAGAGCACACCAAGTGTCTGAATTTTAAAACTTTATTGATGAAATAAAACAGCGGAGAGCGCTTGGGGCTCCCCACATCACTCAGAGGAAGGAAGAAACCGTTAGTGCCCCAACCCTAACCCACTTTCATGCTCACACCCGCACTACCTAAGGCTGGCCAAGCCTCAATGTAATGTAAGAAGAAGAGGGGGAGGAGTGGATGGGAGTTCTTGTCCTGTGCACAGGTCGTCCAGGGTTTGCTGTTGATCTCCAACTTGCTTTGGCTCTCAGAAGGGTTTTTAAGTCCTGGGTTCTTTTGGGGGCGTTTCGTTCAGCGACCTCTTCTCCCCGTGCTCTTTGTACCAGTCCAAACTGGGTCTCTGTGGCCTACTCAGCTTTCCCAAAACACACTGGCTCCAGGGACACCAAACTTTGTCCCCCCCCAGGCTGGCCTTTGCCATCTTATTCCTTTTTGCAATCTCTGTAGTCCTGCTCAGCTTAGTTCTTTTTTCACAGCTGGCCAGGGTTGGTTAAGATATGAATACAGCTACAGACTTCTCATCAGGCTCCGTGACCTTGGACTGGGGCCAGCATCTTATCTTCGGACTGAGCTAGCTGAAGTATTGAGTTAACCCATTCTCTGCTCTCTTCCTCTCACCCCCTTTGACTTCTCACAGCCTGCAAAGGAATCTTCCACTCCACACTCTCACCTTTGACCCTTTCCAAAATGCCTTGCGAAGCTTTCAACAGCATTAGCAATATACAATGCTGATCTGCCTCTCCCAGGGGATCCCCTGAGGGAGGGGGCCATTGGGGTGTGACACAGTCCCCACAGCACAACACAGCAGTTCCACCCCCCACCAGCAGTCTGCCTGCCATGGTGTTCCTAGAGCAAGGGAGAACAGGAAGATTCCACTGTAACGATTTGCCGGAGCAGAAGGCATGCTCAGCTGTCTGAATTTCCCAGAGCTTTGAAAGAGGAAGGACATATGCCTGCAGGGCAGCCCAGTTCAAAACAGTGAGCAGAGCAGTCACAGCAGGTATTGTGGTATACCAGAGGAGGCCAGTTATGTCGACATAACGAATGGCAGCATCTGCACTGATGCTTTGTGGCTTTAACTACGCAGCAAAAAGCTTTATGCCTCTTGTTGAGGTGGTTCTATTTTGCCAGCAAAAGAGCAGAGTTTTGCTGCCAAAAAGTAGCTTAATAGCAGGTCTAGGCAAACTTTTTGGTCTGAGGGCCACATCTGGATATGGAAATTGTATGGCAGGCCATGAATACTCACAAAATTGGGGGTTGGGATGTTGGAGGGGGTGAGAGCTCCAGCTGGGGGTGTTGGCTCTGGGGATGAGGGGTTTGGGGTGCAGGAGGGTGCTCCAGGCTGGGACTGAGGGGTTTGTAGGGTGGGAGGGGGAATCAGGGCTGCAGCAAGAGGTTGGGGCATGGGAGGAGGTCAGGGGTGCACGCTCCAAGTGGCGTTTACCTTAGGCAGCTCCCAGAAGTAGAGGCATGTCCCCCCTCCGGCTCCTATACGGAGGTGCGGTGTCAGCCAGGCAGCTCTGCACACTGCCCCATCCGCAGGCACCACCCCTGCAGCTCCCATTGGTCATGGTTCCCAGCCAATGGGAGCTGCAAAGCAACCGCCTGGGGCAGGGGCAGCATGCAGAGCCCACTGGCTGCCCCATGCCTAGGAGCTGGAAGAAAGAAATACCACTACTTCTAGGATGCACAGCAGGCACGGAGCAGGGCAAGCCCCCTACCCTGCTCCCCGGCTGGAGCGCCAGAGCGGGCCAAGCCCCCAACCCTGCTCCCCAGTGGGAGCTCAAGGGCCAGATTAAAAGGTCTGACAGGCCAGACATGGCCTGTAGTTTGCTCATCCCCGCTTTGTAGTCTGTACAGCTCCCCACTTTCGTCAGCAAAAGGCAACTTTTGCCAACAAAACTGAGTAGCGTAGAGAAGGCCTCAGTGAGAAAACTGTACGTTGGGAGAGAGCACATGTTGGAGAATTTACTATAAAGTCCTGCAGATAGTTAACTGTAAAGAAGCCCAGGTTCCCCTTTTCCTTAAAAAAAGGGTGTTGTACTTTTTCCCCGGAGGGGGAAAGAGTGTTGCCCCTGGATCATTGTCAGGGCTCCATTTTTTTATGCCAACCTGTAACTAGTACATGTCTGATAAATATAAAGCTCCCACTATTACACTTCTCTGGAATGGTAGAACTCTTCCTCACTACCCAATGCTAATCCTTCCTGCCTGTTACAGGAGGAAGGGGAGAAACAGTCCTTCTGACAGCTTCAAAGCCTTATTTTTCTGTTTGGGGGTCCTCCAATACCCTGTCCATCTCCCACACAAGACAGATTTTCTGATATTTTACCTTTCCACCAGCACTCTGGCTCCTGAAAGGGACATATCTACTATATACAGCCTCATTTTCTCAGGGTGGGAAAAGTCCTTTGCTTGGACAGCAACAGTACCACCTGCCTCTACTACTGCTCAGAATGACAGAGAATTTTTGCTATTTTCACTGAAACTCAGAGGACTCAGATTAGCAGCAGAAGTATTCAGTCTCTTGATATTTTAACTTTTTTGCTGCTTTGGAAAATCTACAGGGAGCACTGAAGAAAGATTCAGGAATGCCATACTACATGGGTATATATAGGTACGGTTACTTTCACAACCGTAAAGGCTAGAAACTCAGCTGCCATCTTGCAACACCAAAGGAAAGTTGACATTCGGCAGAAATGGCTTAATTCCCTTGCATTTTCCAGGAAAACTTTCCAGTCACCAGTGAGAAAAAAACAAGTAACTCTTTCAAGTTCTGGATGACAGACTCAATTTTCAATCTCTACATACTTCTGTGATAGCAACTCTCCCAGTGCTGCCAAATTTGACAATAACCATTGGTAATAAATGCTTTGTCTCCCTCATTTATTCACATTTTCTGAAATGCACATCCATTTGTACGATCATATACAGAAAAATCTTTAGCTGCTAAAAAATTTTTTAATAAGTTTTCTGACTGGACTTCTACTTTCCCAAATACATTGTGTTACTAGTATCAAGTTGCCAGAAGACAAATGTTCACTACACCAATATGAAAAGTAGTACAAGGTGTTTTAAACAGCAATTTTCTGACAAAAGTAAGTGTGCTAAGAACACTACACTTCTGCTCACATATGCAGTTAATAATAAACAGTGCTAACTATGTTCCTTGTGGTCATTTAACAACAATTAAAAAAATTAAATACTCTGTAATTAACATTTGAGAATAAGCAAAAAATGAGTCTGTGGAAGTCCTTGAAGAGCAACATTTACTTGAATATATTCAGTAAAAAAATGACAATTATCTTGAAATATGATGAAAATCCCCTTTCAGGGGCATTGGCTCCATACTATAAAAACGGCTGCATTTGACAGTGGGTGTCCTCTGTCCAGAGCCTGGCAACCTCCCATTTCCCTCAAAACCCACTGAAGAAGATGACTGTTCAGCTAGAGTACACAGTGCCAACTAACTTCAACATTTGTCATTATCACATTTTTCCTGCAATGGGTACTCCACTTGATGAGCCCTGTCAACACCATGACAACTGTTGTCACCACTGATCATAGGGGGGAGATTAGAAATTGCTGTGCTTAGAACAGTGTCAATGCTGCAGTTTTTGTAACAGAACTATTCCCTTATAACGTTCCCATGAAAAATAATGATCAAGACAAAGACTAAACTAATTAAACTGGTGCAAACTGGAGCATAGACGAAAACTTAAGACTAAAGACCTGTTGTCAGCATAATAAGTCAGTGCTACTTCCCAGCATCTGTAGCACTTCTGTAAGGGCGTAAGTTTATAATGAGACCAACAGGATTTCCCAGGCCAGTGAAGACAGAACCCCATGGAGCAAAAACACATTTTTCAACATCAGTCTATACTGCGCTTCCGCAACACATTTCTAACAGGCCCCGTGCCTTCACTGACCGGGGACCCTTCCCGGCGCTCACGAACAAGCGCGCGGCTCCGCGGCAGGGCGTTACACAGCCTCCGAATCACTAGGCAGAGGCAGCAGCTCAGGGCCGGTGGAGCCGGCGGCTGTCTCCCATTCAGTGAGGCACGGTCCATGCCGCCGCAGCAACCAGCCCTTGACCCTGCCGCTCCGCACCCTCTCGGCGGCGCCCAGCGGGCCGCGGGCTCCGGGACCGCAGAGGCGGAACGCAGTGACTCACCGGGCTGCGGGGCACACGGAGGAAGGCCCCTAAAGCAGCGAGGCAGGACCGCAGCCCGGGCTCGCCTCACTGGGGCAGCCAGGTGCGGCGCAGCCGCAAGGCAGCTGCTGGTGCCCCAGGGCCGGGACTCGCTAACTCGGCGCCGGAGCCATGTCAGCCCTTCCCTAGGGAGAGGGAGGGAGCAGCGGGAGCCCGCAGGGACGGGAAGGGAACATGGGTGCCCCGGACTTACTCTGCCACACCAGGCTCCTGAGGCCCCGCTCCCCGGACACGGCCCCCACCGCCGCAGGCGCCATCTTGCCCCCAAACTCCACCTCCCCCTGACGTCACTTCTACGCCATCCGCATCCCGTTTACGCTTCATCTATGCCATCCTATCCCCCTCGAAGTCCGCCCAGTGATCCGCCGAAACTGCGCTTTTGTCTGAGAGCCACGCCCCTCCGGCCCTGCGCCGTGACGTATGCCGAGCGCGGCCGGAGTGCGCCCCGGCGGGCGGGAGAGGAGCTGGGCGCCGGTTGGGGCCGCGGGGTAGAAGGCGAGCCGGAGGAGAGGGGCGGGTGTGAGTGGCTCCCCCGGGCACGGCTCCGAGCAGAGGTTTACTGACGGAAACCAAGCGTTACCAATGGGGACCGTGCCCGGCCTCATAGGAGAGGGACATTACGCTCCCCTCCAGCACAGAGTACTGGCGGACCAACACCAGAATCATGGTCCGCATCCGATCAGCCTTGGGCCTGGGCTGTCCCACTCTTGCAGACAGACTCACCTGCACCAGTAGCCCCCCAGTATCGAGTAGCACTCACTCACCACACTATTGCAGAACCTAAAGGCAATAGAGGAGCAGCTGAGAAGCATGCATCAAACTCCATGAGCCACACGTGGTGCCAGGCCAGATGTCTTCTCTCATCCCCTTCACCTCAAACACAAACCATCCTATTATCCAGTTTTCCTGTTGCCTGAGAACAAAATGCACCTGCCTGAAGCAGCCGACTGAAACTAGTCTTTGGCAAGATGGACAATTATGTAAGTGTGGGAATTTACTCAAAAGAAATGGCCATAACTACAAAAGGCATCCTCACCTGAAGAAGTCTTCAGTGTAATCAAAAAGGCAGTTCATGGCTTGGGGATTCTTCTGGACTCTGCTTCTTCTGGGTACACAAATAACTATAATGGTTAGAAATGCCTCTTATCAGCTCCAGCTGCCCAGGGGATGCATTCAGTCCTATTGTATAGAAATTGGGCCATGCTGATGTATTCCAATGCATTGTACCCGGGGTTGAAAGTAAAGGCTTTACACTCTAGCTGGTCAAACATGGAGTGACTTGTCTACTAACATAGGATGGGTGATAACACGCACAGCAATCCAATGCTCCAAAACCTACAGTGACTCCCTGTCCAAAACTAGATTCAGTTCAAAATCCTGGTCTTGATCTTCAAATCTCTGAGTGAGGGAACCCAGATGATCTCAGGCATTTTTCTCTGTGATTTATTACAGCAATTACATTTACAAGGGATGAGGTCAGTAGCAAGGATTACACTTGCTGCAGGAGCAAGAGGCTGACTAATGGCTGTGGAATGCCTTTCCATTAAAAATGGTAATGACCAGGGGTTTGCAACTTTCAGACACAAATGTAAGATTCATCTCTTTGCAATTGCTTTCCATAAAAATAGCCTTAAGACTCTGCATTGCTTCCCTGAACATAACAAATAATGTAATTTAAAACTATTTATGCATACTTTAACTGAACAAAAAAGAATAATGAAGAGTGGAGGATACAGTATTTTAGATGGACTGTTTTATGTAGTTTTGTTAGTGCCTGGATATCATGGTGATGTCAGATAAACTGCTATAGATTTCTACACAGAAGATTACCCAAGCATATTCTTTGCCACAGTGAAATATGAAAAATACAGGCAGACTTTTAACAAATAAAGAGTCATGTATCACAAACTATAATAATAATCTGGAGAGCAAAGGAAATCCAAAGATGAACATCTGTGCCAACCACACTAGAAACATTAAAACTGAAAGTAATTTCTACTTCAGTGTGCACCATACAAAGAAGTATAAGAAACATACTTCCTCAAATTAACAACTATAGTATGACATTTTCCTATTAAAATAGAGAACAAAACCCAAGCATAATTCTGAACAAAAAGAAAGAGATGGCATTTGCTAGAAATAGTATCACAATATGTAGTGAACTTCAACCAGTAAGACCAAATTCCAATGGAGGTATTTAAACTGAGCTCAATTTTGCTATCTGTTACATATGTGCAATACAGGAATTGGACCTGTGTAACAGAGGAAAGAACAGAGCACAGTCTTCCCATGTAACATTTTCTGCATTTTCAGTTGGATGCAGTGTGCTTCATTTCACTAAATATTCCTTGCAGCTGCTTATAGGCCATCCGGAACAGGGGAGGAGGAGCTACAGACAAATATTTCTTTTCACTGTCTCAAAGACTAGTCTTAACAACTATAGTAAGGTGATTACTGCTCTATATGGGGTATCTTACTGATCACATCCAGACACAAAGTGTGAAATAAAACCTTTGTCTGACAAGATGTGCAGTGGAAAAGGTAAATCTTCGGTACTTATTGGATTTATCCTCATCAGTCTTGAAATGGTGAGTTCAATTTTGTTCTCAAACATTTTTAAGAATGACATGTCCTTTTAAAAAAAAAAACAAAAGCAACCTATTTATCAAATTTTTATTCTTATTTTTTATTATTATGTTTTTGGTAAGAGTTATACAATTACTTTTCCCCAGACTCATAACAGACCCACAGAAAAACTACGCTATTATACTTTTAGAACACAGTGTCTTTCAAAGTCTGTCAGCAATTGCAAACTTTCCCTTCTGGATCAATGGCCAGATTCAGAGAGGATAATGAAATAGTAATGTGAGCTGCATAACTATGTTAAATTCACTAATAACAGCCTCGTAGATTTACCTTACTATTGTACATTCATTCAAACCGAACAAATAAGTAAAGCTGCACGTTAGTAAGCTATGTTCACAAAATACAATTTTAAAGAAGTCATTGTTATTACTGCTAAAAGTTTAAATGTTTTCCCTTTTCCCAAAATAATTTTTCAGTTTGTGATTCTAATGTTCTATATCTTTCTTTTCAGATTGTTTCAGCTAACACAGGTAAAGACTTAAAAAGGTATTTTTACCAGTTCATTTTTAGGTGGACGCTAAGAGAACAGAGAAATCTCTGATTACTAATCCAAATTGATTTTTAAAGTAATGTTACAAACAAAAGTTTCTTAACGAAAATGAAATCAGACTCAGAAAATGTAAAGAATCATATGTTTCTTTATATGATATAATTACAAAAAACTTGCTTTGAAAAATAGTAACCTATGCTACTATATATTTGCATAAACTTTCTAACATACTTCTTACAATATGACACTATCCTAAGCCTACACGCAATTTGCACTGAACAGTACCTTCTTAGACTATACCCATTGTCTATACAATCTATTCAGTGTGTGCATGCTTTTCTGTGATATTTTGCCCCTCTTAAAATAGCATAATTTTTATTTGAGTTTAAAAATTAAAGATAAATACGCCACACCATTTTCCTTTTCCTTTTCTTCAATCTTGCGTTCTTTGTGCACTGCAGTCTGAGTTTTGGCTGAGCAACAAACGCAGGATTGGGCTCTTACAAGTCATCTATTTAGTATATGTTGTGGCAGTACATATTAGTATATATTTCAATATTCTAGAATTCTAACCATTACATATTACCATAAAGTTACTACAGTATTTGGGCAATTACTTCAGCATACCATATTCTTTTCACAGAGATTTTATAAACCACAGGCCTGATTGTGCAAGCTCTTCATGTGTGGAACTCTCATTGATTTCAGAGGGGTTTCCATGCACAGAGTGGTACAGGATTAGTCCCACTATTTGCAAGATTACAAAAGCCATATGTAAATAATAGCAGTATTGCCAACCTCAGATGTTAAAAGATCATGAGGCAGCCCTCTAAAAATAATGAAATTTTAAAAACAACCACCAAATTTTGGCTTCTTTTTATTTGCCCTCTGGTTTTTAAGCCTTAGGATATACTTGGGTCACATTTTCATCCTTTTTTTCTGCAACCATGAGACCTAGAAACTCTTTTTAAAATGAAAGATGAGATTTTTCAAGTATTCAGAAAGTTCCAGTAGCTGGGGCTTGAGTAAAATAGCAATTATCATGAGACTTGCAATATTATCATGAGAGCTGGCGACACTGTACACTACAGTGTTTAATGGGTGATAGAAATGAGCAGAAAAAATTATTTCAGTTATAGTTTAATGCAAAGTTTAATTTTCAAAAGAGATTATTTTGGGTACTCTTCTTGAGGCCCCTTAAAGGGGCCTGATTTCCAAAAAAGTGTTTAATACTTGCGCTCTGAAAATCAGGCTACTTAAACATTTTAAAGAGTCTTGTCCAAACAGTTTGCCCAGTAGTGTATTTCAGGTTTCAAAGACTAAAATTTGTTTGGTATTTTTTGTAGGTTTCTCTATATCCATATATAATGTGACATCAAGAAACATATATCTCAAATGGTCCAAGTTTTCAGGAGCCTTTTCCTACAGAATCACAGCAATCCCCATGAACACAGTAGGCCACCCTTTGCTGGCGCACTTCAATGATGTTCCAGTTATAGGCGTTCTTACTTTACTAACTCCCAACACTGTCCACACTGTAAAAGTGGAAGCCATTGATAAGAATGGAATTATCCTGGCAGAAGCACAAACTATGCAGTTAACAGGTTAGTATGGGATGGATTGCTAAGCAAGCTTTCCATTAACTTCAGTAGGGCCAAGATTTCACCCTGTATATTTTATTTGACTTTTAGGGCTGACTCCTACTCATATTGAAGTCCGTGGAAGTTTTCCCACTGACTTCAGTGGAAGCATGATCAGCCCTTTCTCTCTCTCTCGTGTGTGTGTGCATGCATCCCTTGCATCAGTGCTCACCTAATCACAACTTTCAAAATTAGCTGCCTTGTTTTTAATTGAAGAACACAAAAGTGAGATCATATAAATGTGAAAAATTGATATTTTATTTCCATTTAGAACCTGATTCTGTACTGTTTAAGTCAGTCTTGGGCATTATAGAAGAACCTAGATAGACAGTATTCCCTCTTCTCTGTTCCATAACTGATATTTAGTTTTAGAAAAAATCAGTTATGTGAAATTCCTTTTAAAAATTAATTTAATTGAAAAACTTTAGAAATATCCTTGTTTTCTTTTCAAAAATTTCAAAATTTTCATCTTATTGAGGAAATAACTAAAATTAAATTCATGGTTATAGTCAAGAAAGTTTAGAATATAATCTACCTCTTTTTCACCTCTTGGTTACCTCAGTCATGGGAGAAATAGCATAATGTTTTAATGTTCTGTAATGCAGTTCTGAAATAAATAATATACTGTGGATCCACTCCTGCAAGCCCGTGGACACACAGCTCCCTTTGACTTGAATAAGAGTTCCTTATGTGGAAGGTTTGCAGGATTGGTCCCCGATTAAGGGTGAAATCCTGCAGTCATTTATCAGACAAACTCCCATAGACTTAATTTAAATTTAAATTTGTACAATATTTTAAAAGAAAAATGTAGAAATGTAGAAAATACTGTTTTTTGTAATTTTTACAAATGGTGGAAAAGGGGACGTGCCTTGCTAATGTGGAATGAAAACATCTTTGGGCCTAATACAGTAGAGATATTGTTGAAGAGTTTATACTTGTGAAAATATTACGCCTGTAATTGCTGCCAAAGGCTCTGAACTCGTGGTTTAGTTGCCTTGAAATTGGTAGTTATGCTCCAAGGTACATGCTTACATTCTGGATACATTTTTACTTTATATTTAGTGCAGTTGGATCACTTGCATCCATTTTGTAAGGTTTCCTGCTCTTTTTGGTCTTTTGTAGCCTTACAACATATCGAACCTGCTATATGTGCTTATTCAAGGCCCAAAATCCTGATTACTGAAATTTAGTTGGGAGAGTTATAGCTAGGTACTTTTCTGACTGTAGTACATGACATGTAGTTTTCTGAATGGCTCACAGTAAGGGCTGTTAGAAAAAGGTTCCTTGAGTTGCAGTATTTAACATGTAGTATCTAGGATTCAGTCTTCCCATTTTAGATTGTTCTGTAGAAAGAAAAGCTATTTCCTGTTGATTATAATACGGACACCTTCCAGAACTACAGAGCTGGATGTGGCTACAGAGCAACATGGGAAAGATGCACTTAGATTGTCTAGTGTGACCATGATCAAAACATTGGTATTGTCATTAGTAACTTCAATAATGATCTAAAATAAATCCAATCTTGCATGTACTGTTAGTACTATTTAAACTGGTTTAAAACCTGCAGTAGTACCACATTTTACACAGGTAAGTCACAGTGCTTGTTTGAAAGACTGTAGAAGGGCACAAGTGTCCCCAAAGATGCCGAGTAATTTAGCATCTCCTCTTCCTCAGTTTAGAAGATGATAACTTTAGGGACCTGCAATATTCTGGTGATTGAAGCCATACTGAGCCAAATTTATCCCTGATGCTATTCTAATGAAGTCAATGCATTAAAGATGAATTTAGCCCACTTTTTACAGCTTTTTAAACATGTTATTTTCTGGCAGCTGGTCATTAGGCACATGATGGATTGGATTAGATTAGATTAGATTAAGATAAAGTAGACATAGCTCAGAGTTAGGGAGACCAAAACCCAGCTCCATCACTCAGTAAGATACAGAGAGATACTCAGTCAAAAGACCAACTGAATTGGTTAACGTACCACCATTCCCCTTTAAAGAGCAATCTGAGTACATATATAAATTGCATATCATCAGTGCTAACTATATGCAGTTTTTCATTGCTAACTGAACTGTGGACACTGAACAAACATTTCTTTTATTTCATGGCACAAATAAAACCAATTATATTTGTATTCAATTTAAATTTGCTATTTGATTTAGAGAAGTAAAATTAGAAGTATCAAAGAAATTATATCCCAGTTTTCCTGAGCACCTCCTGCAAAATGCTCAATGCACTTCGCACCTGACAGCAGCAGGTCCTTATATTTGAACATGATTATGGATTTTGAACTTACCATAATTTCATTTTTAGCTCCTGAGATACCTGCTATTGACCAAGCTTATTCAAAACTGAGCAACAGTATCACAGTGGAATGGGCAGCTGTTCCTGGGGCTACCAGTTATTTACTGACTGCACAGGACGGAGAGTCTTTCATTGAAACTATAGTCATAAATTCACCAGGCACAGTGACAGGATTGAAGGCTGCTACATTGTACAAAATCACCATCAGATCTATAAACTCTGGAGGAAGAAGCCTACCTTCGCCTTCAAAGAAGGCAAAGACAGGTAGCTTTTGATTTTATTTAGCAACTGTCATATTACTGAAGTGCATAACATATATGGCTCATGGAATTTTCTAACTATCTTTTAAAATTCTAGTACAGAAAGTAAAAATAGTTCAAGCATTTACTGGTGATGAATTAGTGCAATCTTATATTTTAAATATTGAACGTATCACCATTGCAGTGTTCAAGAATATAAGTATAGGTATATAGATGTAGTGGCCTCATGGCCAGTGCATAGGACTGGATTTCTGAATTCAGTTCTCAGCTCTGCTTCTGTACTTAACATCTCTATACTTTCATTTCTCATCTGTATTATGTGAATAATGACATTAAGGCTTAATGTTTTCAAAGAGCTTTACCGTCCTTGGGTGGAAGGTGCTATATAAGTGAAAAGTAGACATAGACCTATGCATGTAGTGGAGATACCCAGCTGATAGATTACTGTGCCATATGATACATTGCATTTATCACTCACATTTGACCAGTTCTCAGAATTTGTCAAGATGAGCAGTATTCAGGCCTGGACCAATGATAAAATCTAATATCCAGTGTCCCATCAAGACTAGAAATGGGAGTTTTATACATCCAGGAAAGAGAGATTCCCAGTCTGCCTGTGGGACGCAGCACTGAGAGACTGGACCTTAAAATCAGGACATTTTTATGAATAGAGAAATTATGCTGGTTAAATTTTATAGATTTCTGAAGTGTGTGAGTTGTAATTTTTCTCTAAGGCCTGGACAGTTGGCCTTGGTATAAAAAAATTATTGGAACCCATTCAGGGTGACCTGCATTACTTACGCATGGCATAAGTAACATAGCTGTCCAAACCCATGACAGTAAAACCTTTATATGTTTTTCTTTATATATTGTTTAGTGAGTTAGTGTAAACTTGTGGCTTTACCTTCTAATAGAAGATGTACTCTGACATTCTTAGGGGGTGGAAGGGTTGGGGAAGCAACTGAAAGGAGGGTGTAAGATAATAGGACAAAGTAAGGGAATCTAACTGACCTCACGCACTCCTTTTAGTTGCTTTTCTTGCTGTACTTATCCACTTTTCACCCTTTGGTGTGCCAGTCACTTTCACTATGCAAGTCTACTAAATAGTAAATTGGTGAAACTATGCTAACTTTACCATTTTATTCTCTGATCAGTTTTTACTACTGTTTACATGACCACTGCATTTGGCCCAGAGATGTCCATGAAAGTTGATTCTGTTTACCCTGTGTTGAATTTGGCTATTCTAACTTTTAGGCAGCATAGCTATTAATGGAAATCCCAATTGTTAATGTATATTTGTAATTAACAGTCTTGGCTGCTCCGGTCCTGTCTGTAAGTTCTCCAAGTTACGACTCCATAGTGGTGAGCTGGGGAGCTGTATATATGGCAGTTGGATTCTCTGTGTCCATCATGAGATCAGATGGTTTAGGCAGTATGACGAAAGAGAACACCACCCATACCTCCTTGGTATTTACCAGTCTAGATCCAGGAACTCTCTATACCATCAAGGCACATGCCTGGAATGTTAATGGGATACCTGGAGATGATTTCACGTACAACCAAATAACAAGTAAGAACTGTTTTCTCTTCTGAAACCAAAGTTAGTGTAAAATTATAAGTTAAAATAATATTGATAGCAGTATGTGTGTTTTTGACAAGACACATTGCGGGCATATCCTCAGCTGGTGTAAATTGTCCAACTGGAGCTATGACAATTTATGTCAGTTCTAGGTTCAGGAAAGTTCTAGAGGACATGGGTCAAATTTTATAAACTTTACTTAGGCAGATCTACCATTGACTTCAATTAAAGGTTTGCCTGAGCAAGAACTGAGTAAAGGAACTTAGGATATGTCCATTAATCTTTATATAAATATTGAAATTTCAACAGAAATTTTTGTGTCAGAGCAAAATTAGAGTAATTGTTTAAAATATTCTGTGTAACTGTAATAGGCCCCAGCCATCTTCTTACACCTATGTCACAAAAGTTACATTTGGATATAATGTTTCCCAAAATTTGATGATGTTCGGATTCAGGGGTCTGGTTGAGGATCATCTCTACGCCAGATACTAAGTGTATTTACAGTTGTTTCTAACTAATGTAGGTCCTCATGCACCATCAGATGTTCAAGTTGCTTTTGATAGTGGAACTTTGAGGGCCACTGTTTCTTGGATACCGACAGAGGGAACTTTAAATTACAGTGTGACAGCCAGCAGTGGAGCCTCCAAACTGAACTGTAGCACATCTTCCACTTCCTGCACTTTGTCTTCACTCCAGTGTGGTTCTGAATACTCTGTTTATGTCATAGCAAATAATGGTGCTGGATCCAGTAAACCTACAGATGCAGTGAGTTTAAAAACTGGTACGTGAACTATAGTGACCCTTGTATGGCCCATAATATTGTTTCTCTTTTGCCATAAAATGAAAGAAGAAAGCAAAAGTTGCCCAAATTTTAGCTTAATATTAAATAGTTTTAGGGGAATTTGCTATACTAATCATTAAAATATTTCAGAACAGTTAAATACTGTCAATGCCTGGCCCTCACATGGTATTACACTCACACCTTATTTTAAAAGATTCCATTATTATGTATATAAACTGCCTCATCATGGTTGTCCATTGCAGCATTCTTTTAAGTGCTGATGTTTCCATAAAGCAGTGCACTGAAAAACTGTTTTGCTGCTGCATTTTACTTTATGGACAAATATTTTTTAAAGAAATTGAGCTATATTTTGCTCTCAGTGACACCAATATACATCTGAAGTAGCTCAACTGAAGTCAAGTAACATTGAGAAGAATCTGGTCCATTGTGTTCATATAAACATATTATTTTTATATCTAACTTTTTAATTATTATATATTTGAAAGTTTGGGGAAATCAGCATTGGGCCAATTTTATCTTTACGGGTAATACAAATTGTGCCTGTCTTCATCAGCCCGGCTTCTCGCATGGTTTGGGGATTTCTCTCCCAGAGGAGGGCAGGCAGTGTTTTACCACCATTGCCCCCTAGGGATTATTCCAGGGAAGGTCAATTTAAATTTCCTTATGGGTTTATTAGTAGAGGTGCATCCCCTGGCTGCTCTGGCCATGTCCCATTCTTAGGCACTGCCATCCTCTTTTGGGGGTTGGTTTCAAGTCCCTCAATGAAGGGGATATTGTAGGCACCTTCACCATTTCCTCCTCCTGCAGAATTTCCACTTCCAAGGCCATATGCCAGGATCTGTGCCATTGAAAACTATGCAGACCCTGGGTGAACTTGGACCATCATTTATGGGGAGGTAGGAGGACCCTTGTGACTTCTACTGGGGCTTCTGTTGCTCCTGTTAAATATTGAGATATTGTGTTTCTTTTATAAGAAAATTAATCCCTATGTTGAAATAAAGCCTCTGTTTCCGTGGCTATCATGTTATTATGGCACTTAACAGTGTGTATTCTGAAACTTTTGTTGTACTTCATGCATGAAGCGTCACATTTACCCTCTGAATCCTGTGCTAACTTCTTTATTCTTTGAATTAATTTGAGAGTGGCATATTTAGTTGGCAGATATAACAGGCCTGATTTTTCTCTCACACCAGTGAGAATCAGAAGCAACTCCAGTGAAGTCAATAGAGTTACACCAGTCTAAAACTGGTCGAAGTAAGAGGAGAATAGGCCCAATATAAGTAGATAGTGTGCAAGCTTCCCCATACTGAGTGAGAAAAGATAATCTGGTGATTAAAGCACAGAACTATGAGTCAGCAGACCTGTATTCTGTCCCTGTTTCTGCCCCAGAGTGACTCTGCAACTTGGAAAAATAATTTAACCTATTTGTGCCTGCCACCTTACCCTAACTTACTGCACAGGAGTGTTTGTAAGACTTAATGTGAGCGTATTAGAAAAGTGGACTGAAATTCTTAAAAAATATGCTGTATAAATGCTAAATATTATGAAGTTCTGACCCATACCCAGTTCTGACCTCCAGGGCTCCTGTTATTTTTGTCCTGGGTTACTCTTAAATCAAAGACCACATTTTCCTGTTTGTGCAATGCCGACCACAATGGAGTCAGGGTGCTGAGTGGGTCTTTGGGTGCTACCTCAAATACAGAGGATGATGATTAATAATGGTAATACAAAATTGGTAGGTGACAAGATTGACAAGTCTCCATTTCCAGCTAGAGTGATGCCAATACACTGAATTACATACAAATGTTTAGCATATCTGGCATGTAAATACCTTGCAACGTCGGCTACAAAAGTGCCATATGAATACCTGTTCTCACTTTCAGGTGACATTGTAAATATGAAGCAGGCAGCAGTATCTCCTGTAAATGTAAACAAACTTATTTGTCTTAGTGATTGGCAGAATAAGATGTAGGACTGTGTGGACCTGTAGGCTCTAAAACTGTTTTGTTTTTGAGTGCAGTTATGTAACCAAAAAAAATCTGCATTTGTAAGTTACACTTTCATGATAAAGAGATTTCACTTCAGTACTTGTATGAGGTGAATTGAAAAATACTCTTTTGTTTATCATTTTTACAGTGATAAACAGTGATATATTTGTAATAAAATATAATATAAAAGTGAGCACTGTGCACTTTGTATTCTGTGTTGTAATTGAAATCAATATTGAAAATGTAGAAAAATATCTAAAAATATTTAATAAATTTCAATTAGTATTCTATTGTTATAAGTGCAATTAATCACGATTAATTTTTTTGAGTTAATCGTGTGAGTTAACTACAATTAATTGACAGCCCTATAAATTATACACACTTTTAGTCTTCACACACATATTTTATGTTGTGAACAAGCACCATGTTAAAATAATCACATACATGTCATCCCAGTATCCTTACAAATCCAGATAAGTTGCTCTTTTCTTAACTGGACATGTGTCAACTATTCAAGCTAAACATATCAAACAAATTCTATATATCTTTCATTGATGTTTGTGTAGTAAAAATGTTGCTTAAATAAAATCTTGTGAATACAGTTGTAACCTATTCTCTCCCCCCCCCGCGCGCCCCATTTTTGTTTTAAATCTGGTTTCCCAGTCCCTTGTGCACCAGGAAGTATAACAATAGAAGAGGACAACCCTGGTAAATTGTCAGTCTCATGGTCTAATGTAGATCTTGGAGATTATTATGTGGTTTTTGTGAAAAGCGATGATGGCTTGGAAGTGCACTGCAACACATCCCATACCCAATGCCACTTCCAATCAGATTGTGGTTTCACTTACTTCATTAGTGTCTTCGCATATAACAAGGCAGGACAGAGTCCTTTAGGGGATGTACTCAATTATACTACTGGTAAGTAGCACTATGTTTATGCAAACATATTTGGTGATTCCCCTAGTAGTATTAACAATAGAGCTAGTTGGAAAATGTTTTTTTTCCTGTAGAAAATATCAATTTTTGGTGAGGAATTGAAAGGTGAAAATTTTTGGCTGCTACCCCAAATTTTGGGCAGAAAACTTTCAGTTTAAAACAGAGCATTTAGATTTTGAAGTGCTGCCATGATGTTCCATGGGAGTTGTCATGCAAGTGACACATGCTCCTATTTTCCTGTATGGATTGGGCTCCCTGGGTGGACTACATCTCCCATAATATACTACATTCTCCTCTTCCTGATTTACTTCAGTACATCTTCAAAGTCCCTGGCCATGATGTGTCATGGGAGATATAGGGTGGCTGTGGAACTTGGCCTATAGATGCAAATATTTTGGTGTTCAGTTTTTCAACAGAAAGTCAAAATTTTCTACAGAAGCAGATACTTGTCACCAAAAAAATTAGTCAAAAACCCAATTTTCCATTGAAAAAGAAAGTTTTTGATGAAAAATTTTGACCAGCCCTAATTAACAATTATCAGTGCTTTAGTAAATATTTTTTTAAAGGAAAAGGGTTAAACTTTAAATTGTATTCAATGTTTATTTGAATAGCCAGTTTATCAGTCAAGTATACCACCAGTTTATAAATTACAAGGGTTGATCATTCAATCATTCTAAAACATGTTCAAAATATGGGGAAGGATGGTGTTATGGATGCACAGGACTAGGAGTCAGTATATCTGAATTCTAGTCCTGGCTTTGCCATAGCTTTGCTGTGTAATCTTTGGTAAGTCCCTAACCTTCCCTGTGCCTGTTTCACAATGTATAAAATGGGGAAATATCTGATTATGAGGCTTAGTTTGGTGATTCATAAATGTCTGAGAACCTAAAATGGAAGGTGCAACATAAGTATACAGTATTATTTCAGATTAATGGATTATTACTGAATGCTATTGTAGGGACGCTAAAGAGATGTAAGAATACACTTTGACGATAAAAATTCTGCAATAGAATTCTTTGTCCAGATAAGATGAGGGACATGGCACTTTTATCCAAAACTTAATCTATCAAAAAATGAAGGACTTCAATGTGGGGAACATAATTCATTTTTAAATTTTTGATAATGGAGGTTTCATATAAGAGGTGTTTGTGTAAACAAGTCACTACCCTGTTTAATATGTAGTATTTTTTAGTTCATGAGCGCTGTTGACATTTCCCTCTCTGTTTTGGCTTTTTCAGCACCTTGTTGCCCCAGTGACTTTTACCCAGTGTTTGTGTCCAGTGATACAGTTGAGATTGTCTGGTCTCCTGTCCGTGGTGCTGAAATGTATGAAACAAAAGCTGTTGATGGAGTTGGTGTAGTATTGTGTAATGACACTGCCACAATTTGCATCCTGTCTGCATTGCAATGTAACACCCAATATAACATCACTGTGTATTCTTACAGTGAAATCAGGGGCAGCAATACATCATGTGTATCTAAATATGTGGCAACAGGTATATGGCTATTTTTCTCACTTCTCTTAACACACAGAATAATTAGCTGTTTGCATTGTTGTAATTAGTTAAATAATTAGTTAGCAGTTGTAAAGTGCTTTGAAGGTGGAAAACATAATGTGAGTGCTAAGAAAAGTTATTATAATTCATAGTTGCAAATGAAAAGAAAATTTGTCAAGATTTGTCCTAAATCCATAACCAGGCACCTCAATAAGTGGTCAGATTGGAAGCTGCTATGTAATCAGCACTTCTGAAAATGAGATTTATGATTCCAGTATGTATATTTGTATGCAAAACCTTAACATGTCAGTTTTTCAAGAGTTTGCCTGTAAAACTCATTTAAAGTCTGTATTGTTCATAAACTGTTCCAAATTAGTCAAAGATTATTGACTAGGATATCACTGTCAGAATGAGTTTGTCAAATATCTACAATAATTTGCAGCTATTGACACAGCTATACAATATAAAATGGAAGTTATGTGCTGATAACAACACATCTCAAATCTCCTCTGTCTAAAATATTTCAGCTCCATGCAGTCCTGAAATAAAAAGCGTCTCACAGGATGATCTTTCCATAATTAGTGTACACTGGCAGGCCAATAATGATGAAACTATATACACTGTTACTGCTAGAGGAGAGGCTGGATTGTGGCGTTGCACAAGTTCCGGAAATTCCTGTAGCATAACTGATCTTCCCTGTGGATCAGTTTTCTCAGTTAGTGCTGTGGCAATTACAACAGCAGGACAGAGCTTACCTAGTTACAGTGTCCCTTTAGAGACAGGTACGTAGCAATTAATATGTAATTGAAAATATAACCTTTTTCAAATTATATATATATATATATATATATATAAAAAAAATACTGTGGTAAATGTGTGTGTCTTATGTTCATGTTTTTTTTTCCCCCACAATGTATCTACATGTATTACTCTTTCCTGTTGGATGAAATGGCATCTGCGTGTGCGCATGTGTGTGTGAGAAAGAGAAAGAGAGATCATGTTACTCTTTAGTAGCTACATCCTGCTAAACCCAAATCCAGGTACTTATGTTTCCTGGGTCATTGCTAATTAAGCTATAATGGCATAATCTTTTTATGCAATACATGGCTTCCTTTTTAGCACTTTGATCCTTAATGTGGCTGAGAAAATCACTGATATTCTGATGATGCATTGTAGACATTTTTTTTATTAACAAGATCACATAATAATCCTGCGGTAATAACTATCTCACACAATGGGTGAAGAAGGAATAAATCATTTATCTTATGCTGTTATTATATATATATTAGATGTTAGCTATTGTAGAATGCTGAAGTTAAGTATCTGACTATTTTGGTAACATTAGCTAAAAAGTACTTAGTTTTCCTTTTTTAAAAATTGCTACTAAGATTATTTTTCTTCCTCAGTGCGAGATGGGTTAGGCACTTAAGTTAATGAAAAGACTCCCCCAGACTTCAACAAGAACTGGATCAAGCCTTAAGATCAGTAAACATGTGGTTGACAAAACTGGCAGTTTTGGAATAGATTTTAAATAAACTATTTCTAAAACAAAATCATTGATAAAAGTATCTGCATAGAACCTCAGTGGACACAATAAAGTTGATCTCCCTTTCTTTGTTTCCTTTTAAGCTCCTTGTTGCCCTAATGATCTGACAGTAACTCAAGTGATGCAGTCTATAACAAATATCAGCTGGTCGGTTGGGGCTGGTGCAAAGACATACATAACAATACTGGAATCACCAAAAGGACCGGCCAAGTGCCACACACTTCAAAACCACTGTCTCCTGGGATGCATTACATGTGGCACCACCTATACAGTGTCTCTGAAAGTGATTAGTGAAACTGGTTTGGCCTCAGACTGCACATATCAAGACTATTCTTCTAGTATGTAAATGATAAATGGAATTGAAAAGAAAAAAAATCAGAGTATAGTAGGCAGATGATTTATTTTCATATCAAGGTTATGTGTGAGATTAAAGAAATTGCTAAAACCCTTGCAGTTCCATTTTAAATAGTTAAATATACATAGGATGAAATTCATGCAAGGCCCTCTGTATCACAGAAACTTCATGGTAGGGCTGCTGTGTGTTTGAGGCAGACTGACTGTGCAAGGGGACTTTTGCACCCTTTGTGCACTATGGAAGGGGGCCGCACACCAGACCCAGCCAGGCCAATATCTACTTGAAGTTTGGAGATGGGAGAGAACATAAGAATGGCCATACTGGGTCAGACCAAAGGCTCATCTAGTCCAGTATCTGGTCTTCCAACAGTGGCCAGTTCCAGGTGCCCCAGAGGGAATGAACAGAACAGGTAATCAAGTGTTCCATTCCCTGTCACTCATTCCAAGCTTCTGCCAAACAGAGGCTAGGGACACAGAGAGGCCAGAGGTTCTACAATTGTGTGGATCCAGTAGCCCTAACATTCCCCATAGTGGGTGGGGAGCAATAGTGACCAGTATTCTAATGTATGATACTAAACAGTGTCTGCAGAGGGGCTGTATTCCAGGGCCACAGCCAGTTTGGGAGTTTGGAGGGCAACTTTCATTCCTTTATTCCCCACCATTGCCTCGTACAATTTCCCTGACTTTGTGTGGGATGATGAACCTTTGTAGGTCGACTTTAGGTATCAGGTGTGAAACCTGTTACGAAAATTTATAATTTCCTTTCAAGAACAAGCATAATCTGCAGTTTAGACTTAATCTTGTTTATTTTCTTTATTAGGTGCTTGCTGTCCTTCTGGGGTGAAATTATATAGATTGCGCAATAATGGTATCCGAATATACTGGCGAGCTTCTGCAGGGTTGATAAAGTATAGTACAGATCTATATGGATCAAAAGGCAATTTCACCTGTACCCCTACTTCAGGTTTGAGTTATTGTGATGTCACCGAGATACCTTGTGGGGATGTCTATACAGTGGTAGTTTCTCCAGTTCCTGAGAAAGGATCAAAGCTTACATTTTGCCCTAAAAAAATATATTCAGGTAAAACTCAATTATAGTCCTTTCAACTATGTATATTTTGTTAAATGCATATCAGTGTAATTTATAGACTATATAGGGCCAAATTCTGGCTTGTAGTTGGGTATAGTCATATTCCAGAATAAGAGGAAACAAAGATACAGCACAGCGCAGAAGTTTTCTATCCCAGTGCTGGCTCACCACATAACCCACAAAAAGACTACGCTACAGTCTGGGTCAAGGCCTAGAAAATAGGACATTTTCTGCTTATGTACTTGGTAGTAAAATGACACACCCCAATTCACATGGATTTCTCTGGATTCTGCCATGAATAATCTATATTGGAACAAAGGGCTGTGGGTGTTGAGTCTGGATACTAATGGTTAGTATGTAGATGGAAAGGAATGACAATAAAATGCACAGCAAGGCTGCTTTTTGCAGCATGATTTACTCTTTTGGGGCTTCAGTTTTAGTTGTTGGGTACCAAACTGATTAATTTAAAAGCAGACTAAGAAAAAAAGCAAATGTAATTCTTCATATGTACTGGTTTTCAAATACCTTAATGCTCTTTTTTTAATTAAAAAAAAATCAGAAGCAATACTGATGAGCCACCCTTATAAAAACAAACTGTCTCTACAATCTTCCTGTAAAAGTGATGCTTCATATTAGCAGAATTACCTTGGAAGCACTGAACAAAAAGCCAAACAGTGATTTATTTTTTCATGGTAGACATTCAAATCCATGATGACATTTTTAATCATACTAAACTTTAATGAAATTGCCTAGTTGTATAATATGGCCCTTACTATACAAATTGCTAATGTTTTTCAGCTTATAATTATACACTTAACTTCCATGCCCCTTCTTTGTATTTCATTCTAGTGACCTGCTCTGGAAGTTCTGTTGGAATGGGTATGAGAATGCTGTCAGCATTTCACCTCTCATGAAAATGGTGGTTCTAGTGAGATATGTTTCTCTTAGAATGAAAAGTACTTTACTTTAAAATAACATTTTCTGGCAGGAGGACTCCCTTAATTCTATCAAAGATAAAACATTTACTCCCAACATAATATGTATTACAACGTCTGTAAGTTACATTGTATGAAACATATATACCATGGCCTAGATAGATCCTCAGCTAGAGCTAAGAAGCACACAGTATGACTCAGGAGGGAGTGTGCAAAGATGGATTTGGTCCCCTCATGTTGGGGCTGCTCTGTGCCAATCCAGTCCTCCAGGGTATGTTAGAACAGCCAGAAGGCTGCTGTTAAGTACAATGCCTGCCAAAGGCCCCAAAGGACTCTTATAACAGCCAGGGGTTGCTGAGGTCCAGGGGAATCCTAGCCATGTCCATTTTCTCCTGGCCACAGCCCCTACTACAGTTGTAAGAGGGAGGTTGGCAAAGCAGCTGTATGTCAGCTCTAGAAAACCAGAGGATTCCTGAATATGGTATTCACCCTGTGCAAAAAATGACTTAAACCAGTGAGAGAATCTGGCCTTACACATCTATCCAAGTGAGATCCATGAAATTAACTGGAGACATAACAGCACAGACACGTCATACATTTATCTTGTGTCTGTTTGTCCAGTGCCCAATAAAATGCAAATTTTTAACGAGTAAAAACTATTGGAACATCTTACCTGAGGTTGTGGTATTCTCTCACTTAAAGTCTTTAAATCAAGACTGGATGTCTAACTTTTCAAAATTCTGAGGAGTTTCAACCAGCCACGAACAAAAAAAACATGTCAGGGAAATATTTCATAGTTGTTCCCCAAATGTGCAATTCACACCCCCAAATTACACTTCTCTGAGGCCCAGGAGAGGCAAGATTCAGCTTTGAGCTACTAACAGCATTTTCTAAATGCCACAGCTGTGAAGTTTGAGCCCTCACAGCCTTACAGAGGAAGAAACAAGAGCTCTATATCATTAAGGAGATTTTCTCCTTTCTAATCAGAACCAGCACTTACCTCTGCCCTTCCAGGGTTAGAGACATTACACTTTAAAGTTGTGTCACCTTTATATACAGAAAAGTTATTTTACCCCACTTTTGGAGATGGCTTCCTTTGAGCCTTGCAGAGTTGGATTCTTGGCAGCTAGCTTTACAGGCATAGGGTTACCAAAAAATGGTCCTAATTTTGTAAAACTCACAAACACATTCCCAAAATATATTTTTTTTCCAATATATGTGGCACATACAGAACTCGTGATTGGTGTGGTGTGGTATAAAGGTTTTACTGGTGTTTAGTTGAGGATGGTGCCCATCTGTGGCTTCACCCCTCTTGTGTATTGGGACCATTCCAAACTCATTCAGATAAAGCCTTGTTAACACAGCACAAAATCATATATTTTTAAACTAAAAATAGACTTAAGTGGGACTCTAATCACCGCCTACACAGATAAATAGCTATCTCTATATATTTTGAAAAATTAGATTATGAGTGTTTTACAGATATTACCTATATTTTGGCCTGCAGCCATACCACATCAGGCTGTTATCTCACTAGTTCTTACAAGCCAAGCAGTGTGAGGCCTAGTCAGCACTTCAATGGAAGACCTTGAAAAACAGAGTGCTACTGGAGGGGTGTAAGGAACATTATACCCTCTGAATCTGTAATGTCCCAGTGGCCCAGCATGGTGCTACAAGACTTTTATACTCTTGCATGAGACCTAAACCTGAGGTCTGAACCACTCAGTCAGCAAAGAGCCCATGGAACTTTTTGAAAGTGTATGTTCTATCTTTTAGAGCCTGGCCAAGTTAAAATTAATTAAATTTAGCTATATTGTTCCACTGATTTTTGAAGCACCACTTACTTTCCGCTAACAAATTGGTGACATTGTATGGTCCATTCTAAGTTTTTTGTGTGGTTTCAAATGAATACAATCTTTCCATTCAATTTCCTGACTGAAACTGCTGGGGACACCTGCATAAGCAACTTATTCAAATAAACATTTCTTGTGTGTGTTTGTCATTTTTTTTCTCACTTGAATTTATCTAACCCTCTGAATTTTTGTTGTAGTGATCTATAGAGGAAAGAGAAGTCCAGAATAACATTTTTCTGGATGGAATCATTGGTTCAGACAAGCAGGTAAGAAAGAGTTTGTTATACTTGAATGACAACTGTAATTGGGATGTACTAAATGAATTAAAATGTTTAACATTTATGAATCCTTAGGACCCTAGAGATAATGCAGTTTAATAAGCATGAGTGAATTTAACATCCTGAGGACCAGTATACTCATTAGAGATACCTTCTATTGTGTCCAACCACAGATCCAATGAGGTCTGTTCTCCTGCCCTGCATAATTCTACTCTTATCCCTACTTCAATGAGAGCCATTCTCTACCTCATTAGCCCTTTCTTAATATCATGCTGCTTTCACATTGAGAGCCCCATAACTCCAAGCCGGTGAGGAGACTTGGGATCACACACTCACCTGCTTACTGCCTCTGCTGAATTGAATCAGGAAGCCGCACCTCCCAAGTACCTCTGCTTTGTATCACTCCATGCTGCATTTGGTCTGAAGGCAATGGAGTCACTGTAGGTAGCAGTCTTGACTAGTCCTGCTTGCCAGTGGCCACAAACCCTCCCTGCTTCCCATACAACTCCCCTTGGCAGCCCTAGAACAGCTAGATGTGGATCTGAACCATACCCCCAGATGTGAGCAGCCCCAACCTTTGACATCTCCTCCTGGACACACATTCATTAGAAATGTGCACAGAACTATCTGGGGCCACAAGTCTCCCTATAATACAGTCAATAATAGGAGCTGTGCGAGGGTGCTAAGTGTGGGTTGCTAATGTTAAGTAGTAGGTCTATGTGCAATATCAGCAGTTGTTCTGGAAATAGTTTGTCAGTGAACTGCTGTAAAAATAAAAAAAGCAGTATTAAAATTCTTGAACTATTTGGATTTAAATAGTTGGCAGCAGTTTAGTCCCACAAAATAGAGTTTAACCATCACCTCTCAAAAAGGTTCAAGGCCTAATGTTAAAATGTTTGATGATTGACCCAATTAAAACGAAAATAGAAGGCCAGATCCCCTTAGCAATCTCTTCTTTGAGCAGAGGTGACTGTTCAGCTTGTGGAGCTGGGAGGTGAGCAGGCATGCCATCTCCATACCATAGTTTTCCCCCTCAACCTTGCTGTAATCATATGGCAAGGACCAGGCTTGGCAGCCTGAGAAGGAGTAGTGGCTGTTATCCATACCACGCATTGCCTCATTGGAGAGCACAAACAAATAATGCTGAGCCTTGCTCTCCTAATTCATGGTTATGAATGAAGTGATCTCATCTTAGAGGTAATTTGGGGGCAATAGCCTGGAAAGTGATGGAGCAACAATTCCTGCAGGTTCCAGGTAGCCATGGAGGGCTAGGAATACAAGCAGCCATTGTGGATAGCCTTAGCCTCTGTGGATCCCTCAAGATCTATATAGCTTTTGGACTAACAGGGTTAGGAAGCCATCCCTCCACATTCCTAGATAAGGATGCTGTGGAAGCTTTGTGAATGAGAACTTGGAATTTCCTTTTCTCTCTGGAGGCTTTATGGAGAAACCTTGGAGCTTTATTTTATTTATAAAATAACCATTCCTATGTAATGTGGAAACTCCAGCAGGTCACCATTATTTTAGTTCTTAACAACTGGAAAAATGAAACTGACTAGAAACAAGAGTGAAACTGGTAGTGTATATAGTTTCACCGGACAACTTAAGTGACATTTAAAAAGTAAACACCCACATAACGGGGGAAGAGAGTACATTATAGGCATTCTTTCAGGTTTAATAAACCTAGCTGTAAGTAACAGGTACAGTATTTAGTGGGGAGGAATAGAGGGAGAGAACCATCACTTCTCAGAAAAACAGAGCACATGTTCTGACTTCAGAAAAGCTGATGCACAACCAGTAACAAAATAGGACTTTCTTTAAACTAATTTATGTAGCTGGAAAGCAGACCATACATTTCTTTAAGTTTGTCTTCACAGAATACAGCTATGCAACTCCATCGGGCACATGAATCATCACTTCAGGTCACTTACACAAAGCAATCAGATGGAACGTTCTGACACTTCATAACACCAGTACTACAATATTGTCTCTTAATAAAAAGGATTTTTGTTCACTGTTAAATACAAGTTTCCCTCTTTAGGAATTTTTTTTTAAATAAATGAATTGCACTACTTACTAAGAAACAGCTAGTTTTTATTTCCAATTTAGGGTTTGAAAAGGTATGAGAATGTAGAAATTAGCGTTGTTCTGTTTGCAACTCCCCCCAAACAGGTTTTAATGCAGTAGGTTTCTCTTTATAGTCATAACAGCATTTTCAAATATGGGTCCCTAAACTTAGTCATGTACATAGGTGGTCTTGAGCCTGCTTTTCGGGTCCTAAGCAATCAATTTCTAATGAGGTCAGGGCCAAACATGGGCTGTAGCTTTTATCTGGCATACAAACAACTAATTGTAAACTAATTGGTACACTAATTGTAAGTGAATAACTTTATGGTGGTCCTTGATAAAAATCAAATTAATTACATTGAATCAGAACAACCAGCTGCATAAGATTTGCATATCTTAATTACATATCAGCCCTCATTAAACTCAAGCATACTTAATAAAAGACTGTTTAAGAGAAAATGAGCTAACTTTAATTAAATATGTAGGTTTCGAATAGCTACAAACAGCAACATAATTGCACCCAGTTGTATAAACTTACTCTTTAAGAAATGAAGGTTATTTACCTGTAAGCAGGGTTTTTCAAGATTGAATATATGTAGAGTCTTACTCCCCACTCATGTCAACTCCTAATTAAATCAGACTTGAGGCAGCTGGGGCACAATGCTTCCTTTTATAGCCCTGCCTTCAGAACTTTCAGGAATACCAAAGGGGGGAGAGGGCAAGCACTCAGGTACTACTGTTAAAAGGTTCCACCATCAAGACACCCTATGACTGGAAATATGCAGATTCCATTTCTAACTACTGTACGTAACCATTGGGTTTGGGGTTTTTTCACCCGGTGCATACACTATGGATTCCTCATCTACTGTGTCCCATTCTTTCTAAGGTCAGGCTTGACAAAGCCCTGGCTGGGATGATTTAACTGGGATTTGGTCCTGCTTCGAGCAGGGGGTTGGACTAGATGACCTTCTGGGGTCCCTTCCAACCCTTATATTCTATGATTCTATCTGTTGCTTCTATCTATTATAGAAGGGCAGTATATATATCTGCAAAACCTCTTGCTAGAGTAGGCCCCAATACTGAAAGATTACCTGAGCCCCACTGAAGTCAGTGGGGTTCTGTGCAACTCATTTTTTTAAAATCTAGGCCTTTCAAGACAAAATTGGCAGGGCTCACCAAACCATTAACCTAGATTTGGGGGAGGGAGGAAGAGGGATGTTTAAAGAAGCCAGGCATTTGAACGTGTCTGCCAAATCTTCCAAGAATAGAGTACAGAAGTACAGACAGTGGGACAAATCCTGCTCACTTAGCACTATTCACATGAATAAGTTAAACAACAGTTGGCTCCTTGTTGCTCCACATTACTTGCACTTTGTGGTTCTTTATGCTGTATAAACATACAAGGTTTTTCTTCTTGCCTTTTTACAG